GGGAGGGAGGGAGGGAGGGAGGGAGGGGGGAGACCCGTCCCTGGGATGATCACTTCTTTACTTTTAATCTGGAAATTACTCCTCCAGCTTTGATAGCTGGTTTCATTGCTATTCTCCTAGCTAAAAAGTGAACAAGGCCCTAATATACTGGGCCTGGTGTGAATGCCAGACTTGTAAAGCTCAGTGTGGAGAGTGGCTTATAAACCAGTCAGCAGGAGGCCCTCACCTGCCTGCCAGCGAGTTAAAATGGTTAATTTTTACAATTCCTAAATGACTTTTGAAAGTATATAATATTGCAAGAATCTAAAACAAAAAGCAATCTCTTGCCTGGTGATGTATTAAAACTATGTATTTTACCCTAAGAAATAAAAATCAGAAGTAATTTTCTGTTTTATCAAGTTACTAGTTATAATGGCAAAACAGAAGCCAAATCTGTGACTGTAAAAGCTCCAGGACATCTCTATAAAAATCAACCCGGCTGTATTTTTGAAAAGATGAACTACAAAGACTGAAAAAACATTGCACAAAACCATATGGTGCTCAAACAAAGCACACATTTGCTAGAAAAGAAAAATTTTTATAGTAATTATATGCGTGTGTGTGACCAATCTATAGATCTTGTTCTCTAAAAGGTGAGATACAGAAACAAGGTTTTGAAAAAGGCACTCTAAATGGAAAAATGGCATTTTCAACCCATGCAAATTCAGGTTCAAGTTGGTATCACTGGTACTGATCAAGAAAACAATCATGTTTTTCTACTCAGTAGGAGTTTTTAACAATTTTACGTATTTTCTTTGAACACACTGATCTCAACTGTAAATTCTGTACATTTTCTTGATTTCTAACTCAATAAAGGAGGTGTTTAAGAATCTTCTCTATTCTTGTTGAAGTTCTGAATAAAATCATGCAATTGGGCAGCCTGTGGAAGTGTTTTATTTTTGGGGGGGTAGTTGCTCAAAGTGAGAATGGGGGAAAGAGATAAAGTAAGGAAACCTTTGCACTATTTTCTCTAGTGAATGCCATTTCTCACCTGTAATAATAGTTGACCTTAGGTGTCACTTACTACACGAAGCACTTTTTCCTGGTTTGCCTTATTTAACCCTCAAAACAATCCTCTGAGGCAAGTGATAAGCAACTTTGCCAGGTTACACAAGTCCTCAGTGGCAGGACCAGGGCTGGGACACAGGCATTCCATTCCACAGTCAGTGCTCCTGCCCACTGCTCTCTGGACTCCAGCCCCCCTATATAGCCAAATGCCTGAATGAGAGAATGGACGACACCATAAGATACCTGACTCCTCGCTGCCCTTTCTCTTCCTAACTACGCAGGGAACAGCAGTACTACCTTGCGGCAGTGGCTACCTTGTGACTTTTTTCCACACCCACCACACTGCTGCTCTGTATTAATGACCTGGGTGTGTACCCTCATTTTATTTGCAGGTACATGGAACTAATATGCTGAGCAGTTTGTCAACCAATTTCTGTTATCATATATAAGTATTAAATAAAGTTAAGCACACATGGCCTTTCTCAGCCCAACAGGGCTGGCCAAAAGGGAAAAGAAGGACAGATCTAAATATGAATGGTGATGCGTATCACAATAAAAGATTCTACCCCCATCCTTTAATAATGGCGCTTGTCCCTATAGGAGTTATCCCTGTGCATGAAATACACAGGGCAGATTTCCCCGAGAGCTGCTCTGATCCTGGCCCCCTCCAGAGACTGGCAGTGGGGAGGAGGCCTCTTTAGTGGCTCCCCCTCACTACGGAGAGCCTGTTCCATCTCTCTTCATTCCAGCCTCAAAGATCTGAAACCAAAAGAGCTCCTCTGTTGAAACTCAGATATTTTTTACAAAGACTGACAGATCTATTCTGATTTCTCAACAGGCGACTAGTCTATTGTTCAGCTCATGATAATCAAGGGCTCAAATCTGAGAAGTGAAAAAAATTTCCATATACTTAAAATGTACATCCAGGAACAATTTCTGCCATGTAAAGAATTTATAGTTGCTATTTATAACGATCAATATTACCTTTTCTCCTGTATTTATTTCCTCTCCATGTTCCTCTTTGGACTCATCGGGCATTGCTGTGGGTTCGAGAGTTTGCTGTAGCATTTGCTCCAGTTCTTTTAGTAAAACTTCTGTCTCAGAGACCACTAAAAAAACATCATTAATATAGTAAAAAAAAAAAAAAAAGCTACATCTTAATTCAATCTAATTCATAATCATAGCCACCCCAAAAGAGGAAATCTTCCAAATATTATAAGATAAAAAAATAAATATTTTGTATAAATTTCACATACGGCCTCTGCTTAATGCAAAATTATTCTGGATTTCCAGGTGAATATTTTACAACTATTCCTTGAAAGATGTAGGTGACATTCTTACTATGTGTAGACCACAAAGTACCCCCAAACAACAAAAGCTCACTAAAATTTTGTGTGTGTTTTTTAAATCAGGAGTCAAAGGCAATAAACTAAATTATGTTATTTGTAGACCAGGGGTTAGTGAACTTTTCCTGTGAAGGGACGGAGAGTACATTTCAGGCTTTGTGGGCCAGATGGTTTCTGTCACAGCTACTCAATTCTGCTGCTGTAGTGCAAATCATAGACACGTACATAAACAAATGAGAAGGGTTATGTTCCAATAAAACTTTATTTACAAAAACAGGCAGTGAATGGTAGGACTGTGGGCCACAGCTGCCAATTTGCAATATACTGTTAAAACTACTGTTTAAAAGGGAAGCCATGTGGTTAAGTGGGTAGGCTAGGCGCAGGCTAGTTTATTCCTAATCCAAATATCAACACATCTTAATTGCCTAATCTGTTATTTTTAAAAAACACTTAAAAGTTTTGTGTGTATGTGTGTCTGTGCATGCTACTGTGACAGAAATATATAAGTCAGCAAAAAATCTGGTAATTCACTGAACTTGCTGAGATAAAATAATACACCCCCACCAAAGGAATAAACACCTATCATAACTATAGACTCAACTACTGATTAACAATATGCAACTGAATTTCTGACTTAAATAAAACAAATATTTTCATTTGATACAGAGTCTTGTTGAGGTAAAGATCAAGGAAAGGGGCCATGTGTGGCCTGCTGTCCTGTACAACAGACAGATGGAGTATCTGAGAAGTCCTTCCAAAGGCAACATGATTCCAAGAGAAAGGCCATGAATACACATCCTATCACCTTCCACTCTGGTTACAAAAATCTGACACACCACCTCTTCTTATCCACTGTTCATTGGCAGGTCACCAAAAATCACACTACGTAGCACAGCTGAAAGTCCATTGAACATGAAAATAGACCAAGCAAGATACACACTTTAGAGCTAAAATATTACCACTGAATATAGAACCAAGGTGTTCGCAGCAATAACATTAATTTTTAATGTAACTGTTGAATATATTTAAATTTTTTCTGATTAACAATGTTTAGGTGGAGTGAGCTATATATCCATATGAGATTTATATCCATCCATCCATCCATCCACACACACACAAACACACATACACACACGTATCCTTGTAAACTAAGTATGCTGTAAGGTAAAAGACAGAAGTTACTAATGTGAGAAGTTTTTATGCATTGTTTCCTTTCCTCGAGTTCAAAAGAATCCATACTTTATTATCATCTTTGTTGATAATTTTCTCTTATAAGAAATTTTAAAATTCTGCTAAAACATTGTTTATTAAAAAATGGTGTTAAATAAGGTTATGGGAGGTTAGTAAATAAGAAGTTTTCCTTTCCTGGTTGTCCTTACAGTACTGGAAAAACAACTGTTAGTTTACATTTTTCACATAGCAGTTTTGGCTACAAAAATAATTTTTCTGTCAATACTTATTGCTTTCTCCAGTTACTTTTATAGTCAATCAACATATATTTATTCTGTGCCTACTAAGGGCCAGGGACTCTGGAGAATAGGTCTAGACCAATGAGGCTTCCGGGCCCTCATGTCTTCCCAGCCAATCTTAGGCTTTCTCTATGGAAAACTTTCAAAACAGTTGGAAACCAGCTTTCTGATAAGCCATTCCAAACGTTAGGACCAGTTCCTATGCTCAAAAATAAAACATCAAAAACTGTAATTGACGTGTTGTATCCACGTAGATGAGCATTCTTTAGTAACTGCTAAAGCCTAAGAACACTGAGTATGAACTATTACATTTTAGAACAATGATATTCAAAATTTGGTGGGCACAGGAATCACCTGGAGAGCTTATCTAAAAATACAAATACAACCCTATGTCCCAAATTTTCTAGAGGAATATACATTTTTGTTGAAGCAATTGTGTTAATGAAACTAACCTCTCTGTATGACAAACTTCTCACTTAGTAACCTGTTACTTAACACTTGAGGTTAACCACTTGCGGTTATCTTCACACTGATTGGCCAGTGCTGCTCACAGGTGCTGTGTTTTCCTACTTTACATTCTGAGTCTACAGATACTGACGCTGACATTTAATGCACCGTTGAGAAGATGGATTTTGAGCTATGCTCTAAAGGAAAAATGGCACAAAAACATCTTTATATTTCTAAAGCTATGCTAAAATCCAATCAATTTATGATAATGAATGTCGTCGCTGAAGGCATTGTGGGCTCTCTGTTTTCAAGTGATCTGGAAAAATATGTACAGTGTCTTTTGAACAAGGCAGATAAAGTAACGGATGGCTTCATAAATCAACCAGGGTTCCTAACACCAGCTTGACGGATGTCAAATCCTGCTTCCAGAGCAGCAGGAGTGTTGCTTTTCTAAAGAGGTATCCCTATACTGTGAACTGGTAGAGCTCAAAAATAATTCTCAGGAAACAGCAGTTATTGTAATCTGCAAACTAGGTTATCAAAATTGGTCAATGATAGCTTCCAAAGATAGAGACAGAATGAATGCCTCTGTTGATTGCATGACCAATCATCTTCTATCAATACTGATTATCCTGTGGTTTCCCTGACTTCCACGAATTTGTTGTTCAGAGTAAAGTGATAGCATTACAGCTGCTCCATCACTCAGAGAAAGGGGTGGGGGGGGAATCTCATACTGAATTCCATATCTGGCTTTTAAAAATGAAGTTTTATAAAATAAATCAAATTGTCTTTCCATTCCTGATAAGAAATGCTGTTTGTCTCAATAAATCAGTTACTATTTTAAAAGCATTCAAATGTATATTTATGGAGTATTCTTTGATCTCTACTTCTCTATTAAATGTTTAAGGAAGCTGTTTCCTTCCTTATATAAAGAGGTTACTGGTCGGGTTACCCCAAAGCTAGCACTAAAAAACATCATCTTAAATAAATTTGCAGGGTCACTTTTAAAGCCACACAGAATGAATGTGAGACTCCTGAAAAGGCTTCCCTTTAATGGATAACTCCTGAGATGAATTCACTCACTTACTCGGAAGAGACACTTCCTGCCAAGGGACTCCTGTCTGCTGTGGATTCCTTCTGCAGTATCCCTAGTGAGTCGGAGGGAGAATGATCCCAGCAGTGGAGCCCTCAGCTGCAGTGCCAGGGCCTCCTAGTGGGAACTCTCTGAGGGATAAGCCGACGTTTGCCTTTCTACAGGAATATCTGAACTGATCTTGTGCGGCAAAGGGACAAAACAGCCAAGAAAGGGCACTTTAATTAGCAGGAAAGCAGCCGCCATAAGGAGAGAGAGAAACAACAGAACTTTGTAGTGGTTTGGAGAACAAAGGATTAAAAATAATAACTACCCAACCTTCCTCTACCTGTTTTTCTTTCTTTTAATGAGACTATAAATAAATGGCCATTCAGCCAATTGAAATGCATACCATAAGAACTGGGGGTGGCTACAAGGGAAAGGGGGTACAGCTGGAATAACTTCTTGGGGTTTAATGTGTTTTGAAACCTCTTTGCATGGCTGCCAAAGTTCCAGCTTGCAAATAAGCATTTGCCTGCTTTTCAAGACTCACAAAAATGCACAAAGGGTAAAGTACTTCTGAAACTAAAACCTTCTCCCTGCATTCCATGTTCACCTACTGTGTCCTAATGCCAATGGCTGTTCAGCTGGAAGCCCCAGGCTGCTGCTTTTCTTCCTTCTCTCCCTTTGGCACCCCTAAGACGCTAAAAAATTTGGAATGAAGAGGTCTGGACTGAAATGTATTGATGCTGATATTTCTTCCCACAACTGCTGGTGCTTTATTTAAAAACAAAAATTAAATACATGCTAAAACCAGAGAAAATTTAATTCAAGGGAATACAAATGTAAAGACAATTGAAAAGCCCTAGAATGTAAATCAACACCAAAAATAACCCACCAATGTTTCTCAGTATGTATATATGTACAGCATTTCTTCTCTTCAAAGGACCATACCTACATTTCGTAGAATTAAAGGTAAAAGAGCTAAATGCAGCTGGGCCTTCACATACCCATGTTTTCCTTTGACAAGGCATCACCTGAACCAACATCTTCAACAGAGCATTTTAAAGTAGCTTTCCTAGAAAAAGAATGCGACAGAGTTAGTTTCAAATGATCAATCATGTATATTTAAATGACAGTTCATGTATATGCATTGGTAATTATAAACTAGGAATGTATATTTATCTTGAAGTGCTTTTTCTTGGTTGTTTTATACTGTAAGCCAGCCCGATACAGTGACAAACCAAAGGGGAATAGTATTGATTTGAGCTCTCACTAGGTGAAAGGCAGTAATGATCTACCAAGCACCTTACATGGGCTTTTTCATGTAATCCTTCCCCCGGAAGCCCACTAAGTAATTGTCACTCCCATTGTGTAAAGAAACCGAGGCTCTGAGAAATTGAGAAACTTGACAACGTAGGTAAGTGGTTGAGCATGACAGCACTAAATTCTGTCCGACTGCAAAACCTATGCTTTTCCACTATACCATGTGGCTAAGAGTCAGCAAAGATTTGTCCAAATGCATTTTCTCTAACCGTAAGATCCTGAGACAGCCAGTTAGCTCTCTAAGCCACAAGTTCTTCACCTTTTTACATGGAGATAATTATGATACACCCCCTATCTATTTTGCTGGGGTAACTGGGATGTGTAACTGAGATAAGACAGTTAAAGTCCATTTCAAAAATGTAATTACTCATCTTCTGAAAAAGGGCAAAGAAGAAGGACTATCACATTAGAGTCAGTCTTTCTCTTTGAGTAGGACTCTCTTCAACACAGTACTGATTACCATTTATTAAAAACAAATAAGTAAACAACCTGAATGGCTGGTTCAATGATAAACACTAAAAGTTGTCATCAGTGGCTTATGAGTTCATTGTAAAGGCCTGTTTTTGTTCCCATGACCTATTTTAACCTAAAAACGTGCTTCTCATCTGGTTGCTCACATGATATTAATCTGTGAAAGTTCTGGTTCAGCATATTTGTATAAACATCAAACTTCCTCCATACTTCTAACACTACAACTTATCATTATATTAATTCTTTTAGAAAATTTTGCACACAATTGTTTCCCTAGAGAAACAGAATGAAGAGTCGAGGAAAATATCATATAAGTATGTCCATACATTTTTCAATTTTATCATAATTCTTTTTGATTAAAAATAACATACCTCTTCCTTTTTCTGAACTTGGGCATTTTCTTTTCAGTATTATTTTTGGAAACTGGCATCTGTAAAATAACAACAAAAATATGTGATAGTTCATATGGGACTGGGTGAATTCAACATAATAGTGGATCCTATATGGGCCCAGTAATTTAGTCCAGAAGAAAAACTCTGGACCATAGCCCTAAACAACACCTGTAACTCTAAGTCAACCACTTCACAGTCCTTGCAATTACATTGATCTGCTCAACTTCCAGGAATGGTAGACTGATTCAAATGAATACCTATTCCTTACATCTAGGTTCAACACCACAAAGTAAAACAACTTTTAAGTTTTAATACATATATGACCATTAAGGAAAGAAAAAGAAATATTCATCTGTCAGAAACATGAGGAATATAAAACTACATGTTTGGGAATTGACATGGTGAAGCCCACATGAAATTTGCCCCAGGATAGGGCCAAAAGGACTTGGGACTGGGGCTTTACTGACTAAGCAAAGACACAGTGAAGAACTTGGAGAGATTAGAACCTTCATACATTGCTGCGAGCATGAAATGGTGGAGCCACTTCAGAACACAGTTTGACAGTTCCTCAAAATATTAAATGTAGAGTTACCCTGTGATTCAGCAATTCCGCTGCTAGGTATATAGCCACAAGAAATAAAAACATATGTCCACAGAGAATTGTACATAAGTATTCATAATAGCATTATTCATAATAGCCTGAAAGTAGAAACAACCCAAATGTCCATCAGTAGATAGGTAATATGTGGTTAGCCATACAATGGGATATTATCAGTCTTTAAAAATAATGAAGTAAAGACACATACTACAACATGGCCAAATTGTGAAACCAATATGCTAAGTGAAAGGTGAGGATGTCAGAAACAAAAGGCCACATGTATGATTCCATTTATCTGACACGTCCAGAAAAGGCATATCCACAGAGACAGAAGTAGATTAGTGGTTGCCAGGGCCTCTGGGGAGGTGACTGCCAATGGGTATGTGGTTTCCTTCTGGGGCGTTGAAAACAGGTTCTAAAATTAGAAAGTGGTACTGGTTGCACAACTGTAAATATACTAAAATCCGCTGAATTGTACACTGCAAAATTATATCTCAACAAAGGTATAGTGAAAAAAACAGTGGCATAGAAAAATTGAAAGAAAGAAGATAAAATGCATTACATCAATAATTATTAATAAAAGGAGACCAATGTAGAAGTATTGTTGTTAGAAAAAAGTGGATGTTAAGGCAAAAACCATAATCAGAGATAAAAGGGTTATTACTCAATGCTAAAAAATCCACCTAGAAAGAATAATAGTCCTGAACCGGTATGTACCTAAGGTCTTGCCTTAAAATATACAGGGCAAAACAATTAAAAGTAGAAACTGATGAATCTAAAGTTAAAATGGGATATTTTAATTTACTTCTCATAGAAAAAAATTATAAAGCAAACACAGATTAGTGAAGAAATAGGAGAATTCAACAAAACAAATAATAAGTTTAATAAACACATATTGAAGCCGGCACCAAGTAATTAAAGAATACATATTGTTTTCAAGCCTGAAATATTCACAGACTTGACCACCTATTGGGCCACAAAGGAAGTTTCAAAAACGTTAAAATAATCTCTATTTTACAGACCATACTCACTGACTAAAGTGCAATAAAACAAGAAGTCAAACCCCAAAAGACAGCTGAATGAATCTATAATCAATTTGTAGATACAGAATAATTCCCCTTCTCCCATGAACCTTCCTGTGATAAGAGTTACGATCTATGTCATTTAGATCAGGGTTACTCTCTCACATTTTATTTCAGTTATTTGTATACAACACTTATCTTCTCACTGGGTAATACACTGTCTCCATGCCATACCTTTCACACTGTAGGTGCACATGAAGTGTCCATGGAACAAATTAATGAATAAATGTTGGGAAAGATAGGATAAAGACAAATATCAGCATAAGGAAACAATGGTGTCAATGTTACTGTCCATTCGGTGCTGCCATTGTTGGTGAGTCAGGCATTTAACAAACTCATACAATTTACCCTCAGCTTCTAAGACAGTTCAGGGCAACTTTCAGCTCAATACGTTTGTTAGCTTCTTTTATCTCTCGTCTTTTCGCTGTAACTTGCTAAAGTGAGAATTTTCTTAGCCCATTTTGTCGAATTCCTTCAGTTTCACAGATCTTGATTTTACTGATCTTGAATCAAGCCTCTAAACTGCAAAGGTAGGAACAATTTTTTAAAAATTTACTATGTTTAGCAGCTAGCAGAGTGACACACTGTACATTCAAAAACATTAACTACAATGAGATGAAGGCTGAATTTAATAATTCTCAAAGCATTATTAAACAGCTTAAATAATAATCATTCAAGGGAAGTTTGTATGAAACACTCAAAGAATTCATCCTGTGATGAGGCTAAAGACTAAGCAGGTGTTCTTCTTTTTGTGATCTTCAACCTCAAGGAAATATTCAAATGTGTGTTTTTTAAGACTGGAATAAATATATACATACATTATATAATATATATATATGAAGAAGACTAAGTCTTTATCATAATATATGATACATATTTAAAGAGCATATAGAAAATATTGTTGTCTAAATCATTAACCTACATCTCCAAAGACAATGTAAAGCTATTATTTCCAGCTTGTTATTAAGGATTAGCATAAATAATCTGCATATTTGCATATGAAGTGAAAGGATTACGACAACAAAAAATTAAGGTAACAAAGTGCAAACTACGTTATAGGTATGAATTGAAAGAAATATTGTTAAACAGCTACCATAAATAAGAAAGATTTGTGTTGGCGATAGAAGTTCCTTTTCTATTTTGTTAAATACTCCATAGCAGCCAAAATGAACTAGTCAATGTTTGACAAAATGCCCTGTGCATTCCTGCTCCAAGTCTTTGATAAAGTATGACATGGGGGAGAAGAGAGCCAAATCTGGAATGACAGGATCATGATTTGAATGTGAACTCCTGACACTCACTAGCTGTATAGATTTTGATTAAGTCACTCTAATATCTAAGTGGTATAGACACTTAATATATATTTTCTGATTAAATGACCATTCTGCATTTCAGGGTCTTTTGTTAAATAATATTAAAAAACAAACAAACAAAAAACCCTACCTCAAAGCATTGGAGGGAAAATTAAGTAAACAACATGCCAAAAAGTATCCACCAGTGCTCGGCTATTAGATAATGTCCAATCAGTGTTTAACCTATTACACTAGTCCACTGGGTCACTGTCAGGATTCTGTCCTTTCTCCATTAGAGCATATGACAGGGAGCTTGGCACTGTTATGGTTGCACTTTGGTAGTATGTCAGTTTCCCAAGGCTGCCACAAACTTGGTAAAGTGTAAGCAATGTATTATTTTACAGTTCTGTAAGATAGAAGTCTGTCTCATAAAAATATCCATCCTTGGATTTAGGGCCCACCTAATCCAGGATGATCTCATCTTGAAATCCTTACCTTAATTATATCTTCAAAGACCCTTATTTCAAATAAGGTCATATTCTGCGGTTCCTGGTGGACATATCTTTTGGGGGGGTCTATGATTCAACCTACAAGTAGATACTATAACCTTTCTTTATTCCATCCTTCTACCTCCCTTTTGTGTTTCATAGCTGACTCTATGTTATCTAGCCCAGTGGTATTCAGATTAAGGACTACTTGACAGAATCAGCAACACCTGAGAGTTTGTTAGAAATGCAAATTCTCATGCCCACCCTATGTCTACTGAGTCAGACACTCTGGGAGTGAGGCATAGGAATCTGTATTTAAATAAGATCTTCAGGTGACTTTTAAGCAAACTAAAGTTTTCCAGGCACTGGTCTAGCCCACACCCATCCATATAAATATGCTATATAAGCTTCGTTGATTTTAAAGAAACCAAAGTAAATATTCTTTTCTTGTTGAATGTAAAAAACAAAGAGATATATGTACAGAGAGTACACGCCATTTTCTGAGAAAAAAATACATATTTAGTGATAATTAGGATTGCTGACTTAAATGGCAAACAAAATTGCCTTTAATTGCAAAGAACAGAAAATCCAAAATAATTGTGTATATATCAGATTTGTACAATCTGCATAAACTGACTTGACATTGCCCATTTCCTTAAGTCACTATTCATCAAAATGAAAATCTTTTTTTATTTTTAAACAAGAAGTTTGTTAGTTGTGTTAAATCTGAAGGTGTAAAACTTTGATTCAGCATTTTATGCTCATAGAAGACAGAAATATATTTCATAACCTTCCTTTGAGAGTAACTGTCAGTCAATAATCACTAAAGAGCTCCCTACTTTGACAGAATTTCCAAAAGTGTATCTGTGTCTTGAATAATGTACACAGGCTCCTTGTCAAAAGTTATCATACAAAAGGAAAAGCCAATACTCTCATTTAACTTTGGGAAATCTGGTGGGAAAATGTCTGCTCGGCATAAGGATGAAAACGGGCTTCATGGAGCATTGTAAACAATGGTTATTACTTAAGCTGAATATCTGGAGAGTATAAAGAATAAAGGTAAGTCTTNATGGTTATTACTTAAGCTGAATATCTGGAGAGTATAAAGAATAAAGGTAATGACAGGCCTAGATAATGACTGTTTTTAACACTTTTTAGAAAAAAGGAAAAGGTTGAAATGAGCATTTTCTAGCTCTATTTTCAACATGATTTCAACAGAGAGAATATAAATCTGCATAAATATCAGTCAATTACCATACACTCCAGTACAGTCAACCTTTGGTAGAGTTCAGTATTCCTGTGAGACTCGAACAGTATCAGAGATCAGTCCCTGGCAATATGACTTATAAATGCCCTGCTGTCCCCTGCCCTATTTCTTCAGCCACGTGCAAGTTCACACTAAAGCGCTATGAATTTCTCTGCTTTGAGGGGCTTACCAGAGAAAACACTGACCTGTGTACTTAAGCTGTGAGCTGAGACACAGGAGAGTATTTTCCCTAAAAATAGAAGTTGGCCACTAGACCACCTTAAACAGAAGGCATGAAAGACCTATTAAAATACCTCCCAATCCTGGCTGAG